TACTGGAAAAATAGAAAAAGGTAGAAAAGAATGAATAAAGATTAATAAGAGCTAATCTGGTATTATGTATTTAAGGAGATGTTTATTTTTGTGTCTACAAGTAGTTATTAATTCACTCCTCTGGTTCAATAATTTAGTTTTTTAGAATAACTAGTTTTTCACTTGAACAAAGACAACAGTTGTTGCCTTTCTTGTTAAAAGTCTTGGCACTAGAAACAATTTCCCAGTTAATAGATGGTGAAAATTGCATATATGTACAATACTTATATATATATATATATATATATATATATATATATGCACAATACTTTTACAATCTTTCCTCATGCCAAAACAAGGATAAAAGTTCATATAAATATATGTCAGCAAATCCTTTGTTTTGAGTTATTAAGTTTAAAGTTTATGATAAATGCTGTGAATGTAGAATGTGTTCTGCATGATCAGGCATATGAGTTGCAATCTAATACATCCATGCAACATCGTGTCTATTACTATTCATGTGGCCATATAAATACCCTGCCATTGTTAAATGGAACACTTTTCAGTTAACTCACTACTATGCACATTAAACATTGAAGAAAAAATATCCACAAATGTACACGAATGACAAATGTAACCTAGTCTACATAGCAATACAGCACCATCTACCATAAACTTTCTTTAAACTTAGTAACTCAAAAATGAAGGATTGTGGACATATGTTTATATGGATTTTTGTCCTTGTTTTGGTGTGGGGAAGCCATCCCCAGTATTTGTAAAAGTGTTTTTGATACACCCTGTATATATTTGAAGCAATCTTATATGTGTATTTTTGTATGTGTATTTGTGTGTGTGTGTGTGTGTGTGTGTGTGTGTAGATACATATATCTATAGTTTGAAATTTGGTAAAGTGCTACTTACCCTGAAGTGTTGATTTCTGTCTACATTCTGCCTATCTATAAACACTTTTTTTTTTCCAATATTGAACCCTTGTCTCATGAAAATACAAAAATTTAAACAATATACATATATACATAAACAATATATATATATATATATATATATATATATATATATATATATATATATATATATATTTAGTTTATGCAAAACTAGGTAATCCGTATGGGTAGACACAAGGAGGATGATATCCAGAGAGCTATTGTTTAGACATTTAGATTTATATCAAACCTCAACCCCCAAATATGCTCTTTAAAGTAATGCGAATTAACAGCGTCTAAGAATTTGAGTGAAACCTGTCCTCATGGAATTTAATTTATTATGGTTTGTTGTAGCTTCTTCCTTTAATGTCAGTCTTCTCCCTCTCCTCTTACCCATCTATATCTAGAGATAACACATGTTAAGTTTAAGCGACGTCTAGCCTACACATAGTGGGATTAAGGATAAAGAATTGAAATGGTACATCTAACTCACTCATGTCTTCTCTCCCCCCTCACTTCCTCACTTCGTTAATTTTACATATGCTTGATACGGTCCGTCAAAAATGTGTGAATTTCTTTTCATTTTTCATTTCAACCTTTGGAAGTAAAGTCTGATGATTCAGAGCTCTGTTAAAGGGGTTGTGGTGAAATAACTTATTACATGGAACCTTAAAGTGGTCTGTTTTTTTATTCAAAATATATATATATATATATGTATATATATATATATATGTATATATATATATAGTATTGCACATTGGTATTAATAAAATAGGTCTCAATACTGCACCTGAAGATTGTGCTATGCATGAAACTCCATGTTGTGCTACTGGTGAGGAAAAATATATATATTTATTAATATATATATATATATATATATATATATATATGAATTAAAAATGTGTCTACTTTTTAGAAACATTTAGACACTACTGCCAGGGCTCTAAATGTCTGAGTCATAATCTGAAATAAATTCTTCTATTTTTCTTACTTTCAACTTGTCATGACAGTTAAAAATGGTTTACACGATCTGCAGGTTATGGCATCAAAATTCAATCAACAATGAAAAATGACAAAATAAATTCATAATTTTGAAGCACATTGCGATATTTCTTTGGCTAATTCAGTAACATACACTCTTCTCCATCCAGTTGGTATTATTAGATTCACTTGTAGAAAAGCAAAAATGTTTAACCAGCCATATCTGGAAAGAAAGAATTAATGCTCAAAATATTTCAACTCTCGGCTTCACTTTCCTACCATGATAACCTAGTTTTCATAAATATTTTTATGGCAATTGTTCTGATGAGCTTTTTTCTTTTTTACCACAACTTCATGAATATAAATGTAGTGCTAGATTGGCAGATAGGTCTCACCATTTTACCATTGAAATTGACAGATGAAAATGTAAGCTCAATTGTAATAGTTTCTCTCATATTGCTTACCTGTGAAAATCTTTTCCTGTTTCTTGCTTTCCTGTCAACTATAAACAACAAAAAATTACTTTTATTATCCTTTCTGTCCTCAATAATGTCATTCTAATATACTTTCAATTTCCTTGACTACTTGCAAAATGCAAAGTGGCTTTATTGGCTTGCCTGGGATGATTGATTAACAAAAGAAATGGTCAAGACACTAATCATAAGAACATATTAATAAGAATCCAGAATTCAGAATCAGAAGATAAAAAGAAGAATTGGGCATTGGAGTAGGAAAGTGTCTCTAGGGAAAATATACATAGAGATGGGCCTTGGGGCTTTGGAAAGTGTATATACGGAAAATATACCTAGAGATGGGCCTTGGGGCTTTGGAAAGTGTATATACGGAAAATATACCTAGAGATGGGCCTTGGGGCTTTGGAAAGTGTCTCTAGGGAAAATATACCTAGAGATGGGCCTTCAGGTTTGGAAAGTGTCTATACGGAAAATATATCTAGAGATGGGTATTGGCATTTGGAAAGTGTCTCAAGGGAAAATATACATAGAGATGGCCATTAGTGTTTGGAAAGTTTCTATAGGGAAATATACCTTGAGATAGGTACTAGGATATAGTAAGAGACTATATTTACTTCTTACCAATCTTGTCTTTATTTCTGGGTTCACTGGTTGACAGTATCATATTCTGATATCTGACCCCAGCAAGGTCACATGGTCAAAAATGAAAGAATCTGATTTTGGAATTCTTTTATTGGAGTCAGCTGATTAAGGTTTTTCCAATTCCTGTTTTTTTTCTTTTTGGTCAAAATGAGAAAAGTTTTTTTTTTGCTAATTTATTTATTTTTTGTAATTGCCATATCTTCTAGTATGTTTAGAAAGATATACGAATTAAAATCATCATTTTCATTTCTCTGTTCCATTCATTTATTTTTTCTTTCCCATTTTTTTATTGGTATTGTAGCAAAACTGCTTAATAAGCATTAACAATGATTATGAGAACTGTCAGTCTTAACTAATGCCACCATGAAGACTTTGAAGAAATGAACTGCCAACTGATCTGGTAGTCAGTCAAGTTACAAGTTAAAAGCAGTTTTGTATTTTCTTTGATATCTGTTTCAAAAGTTCTTGAATCGGCTGTCAAAAGAGTCTGAATATCACGTGTGCACTCGTGTGTGGGAAGGTGTGCCCCCCGTGGTAAATGACATGTTTTCATTTGAAGGGGATTTTTTTTTAGTATTTTTAGTCTATTGCTTTACTCTTGTTCCATGAAAATCACAAGAGACCATCCTTTATTCAGTGGTCAATGCTTCATGATATATTGATGCCATTTTGTAAAACAATAATTATAGGTAATGATATTTACATATGTCTAAACATATACATGATGGTAAAATAATCATATATACTTGTATATTCTTATTTCTGTTTGGTAACAACATATATTTACACTATTTACATTGTTCGGACAGTTGTTCTCATCTTTGTTGGCATATCCATGATGTTTCAACTGTTATATTCTCTGGCCTTCTTCCGGTGATTGGAATTTTGAATGGAACCCTTTATTTTGCCCACCAGGGTAGACTGTTCTCGTTTCTCATGCCATGCCTCTTTCATATATCTCAGTATCAGTTATTTCCCTTTAACTCAATTCTCTAATTTTTTGTTCACCTCTGCTGTAACTACTAGTTATTGAATTCACAACTGATTTGGGTCAAGTTACTGGATTTAACCAAAACTTTTATCCACTGGGCCATGTGACATTAGGATTACAAGCACTGATAAGAAATAAAGGTGGCTACACCAAATATTGATTTTAAATAACTTCTTTCATAGAAGTTTACTTATTTTTGGAATGTTACATATTCATAGTTTTGGTTATAAAGTTACTACTGTAGAGTTTGGTAATAAATGCTACTTGATAACATTCATTTTGATTGTATAATTTTCCACTAGAAATAATTTAATATGTTTGGTTTAAAAGAAAACTAACTTTTTATTAAAAAAATTAGTTAGGGTGCAATTATTTATATGCAATACAGTATCTCCTTCGTATGGACATTTTCAGAAAACTTGTACAAAAGGAAGGAAAGATAAAAAAATTACACATGGAAGTGGATTTTTTTTTATTCAAGAGGACATTTTTTTTAGATAGAGTTATATTTTTTGTATTTATTTTTTAATTTTATTTTTTATTCCGTTTTTCTGCTGATATTGTAGATTTTCATTTCCCAGTCTTCAGGGTTTCTAACAGGAATCTATTTTAACCAATCTCTAGAATTTCAGACTTTTACAAAAAAAAAAAAAAAAAAAGTTCTAGGTGCAATAACAAAGTAGTCTGAATCTCTCTGAAAGATGGCAACTACATCTTCTCAGAAAAATACATTTTTGATAACTATATTAAACAGAAGCTTAAAACTTAATAAACCTTTTTTAATGATTGGCTAGAGAGGTTTGTCAACATAAATACAATATGTTTTACTATAAGATAATTTCTTTTGTCTGGCGAGCAATGAGTTATGTTTGATTTCACCAACTGTAGGATGCAATGTGGAATTTTGTTAAATTATGGACTAAAATGACAATTTTTATTAAATAACTGGAATCTTCATGGCACATGTTTGCAAATCTCAAACTACAACAAGGCTTGCAGCCACATCACATTGAAACATTGGTTCCTGTTAGATCACTGAGGTTAAGCAATATTGACCCTGGTCAGTAACTTGATAGGTGACTGCCTGGGAAAACCAGGTGCTGTAAGCTTAGATGTACAGGTTGTATAATGGGTAAAGTCTCAGAATTTTTAATTAGAAAGCCAATTTCCAATTCTTATTAGGTTTGTTACATTCTCTTACATGTAAATATCCTTAGGAAAGTATCACTAAACCATTATTATCACTAAACCATTATTATCACCCCACAAAAAAATCTTACTATGTATAAATATTTTCTGGCTTTAAATAACCTGCAAATGGTTGATAAGCTGATAGAAATTAAATGAATCAAACAACAGTTTGATCTACACATGTGTAAACACACTGCAACCACACACATACTCACAATGTAAGAGAGACAACCAGCATCCACTGACTAAGGCCTTGTCCATGCACAAAATAGAAGGGGTTAACCAGCAACCACCTACTAAGCCTTTGTCTACAAACTCACAAACACATTAGCCTGACTATCATAAAGTAACTGCGTTTATACATTTCACACCACGTTAAGAACACTTAATTACTTCATAAAACAAAACTAAAGAATTTACAAGAATTTATGGAATCTTTGGTAATAAATAATGTTTTTAACCCAGAATTGATCAAATTTTGCAGAACAGCATTTCTCCATTTGAAGAAATTGGTTGAATTATTGTGTTTAGACTGAAATATTTGTTTATGTAAATTGATTTTCTTCAATTGGAAAGGAATTGTCAATTCGTTCTTGACTAAAAATGATACCAAAATATTACAATGTGGTTTTCACAAAGGATACAGATGTACTGTACAAATACATATTCTAAAGAGAGTTCTAAAAGGTTATGATCAGAAACAACTACCAATCATCATCACTTTTATTGATTTTTGTAAAACATTTGATATGATAAACAATGATCATAATATGGATCCTACTGTGATACTTTGGTGTTGAAGACAAAATCATCAATTCTATATCATGGATTTACAATGGAATTGAAAACTGTGTCAAGCCTGAGGAAACACTTACAATTATACATAGTGCATTGATAAAACCAAAAACATTATAATATTGGTATAATGGGAAAAATAGAAGATTTTGCAGAATGTTGATAATGACATGTTATAGAAATTCAGACAATAATTATGAAATGAATATTTTTATTTGATAGTTTACGAAAATTTTTACTAAATTTATTTCAAAAATGAATATTTAGAACACTATTTACATTTTTCAGAGTATTGTCCTCATCTTTGTCGCCATATTTATTACAACGTTTTGGCTGTTGTACACTCCAGCCTTCTTCGGGTGGTTGGAATGTCGAACTGAACCCTTTATTTCGCTCACTGGAGTAGACTGTTCTAGTTCCACATGATGGATGTCAGTTATCAGTTATCTCCTGTTAATTTCCCCCTCCAAGTTCTCCACTGCCTTAACCAGGTATTGAACTCACACTCTTTGGGTCCTGTCACTGGATCTAACCAACACCTTTATCCACTGTGCCATGTGTCCTTGAACATTTAGATATTAACTGAATTGAGTTTGTGGAAATCACTAATCTCTGAATCTTTTGAGCTTTTGCTAAAAAATCACATCTCTTGATTTGGCCTTGGACACCAATCTGAACACATTTTAGGTCATGAAGATCAATGTAACTACAATGAATGTCAGAATAGGGAATAAGATGGACAGGAAAAAAGAGAAATATTTTGCTAAGAGCACTAAAAAAATTGTTCTTTAAGTGTCGTTGGTCAACATTGTTGGCAAAATTTTAGCCCAGATTTTAGTTGCTATTTGTGTGTTGATCTTCCAAACATTTAAGAAGAACAAAAATTTTAAATGAAACAAAAAAAATTCTGGAGGAAAAGTAGAAGCAGAACATCATTTCATATTCTTTTCAGAATTATACAACAGCAACAAAATGTTCAATTTTCCTTGCAGTGAAGTTTGTTTTATGAAGTAATTAAGTGTTCTTAGTGTGGGGTGAAATGTGGGAACACAGTTACTTTATGATAGTCAGGCTAATGTGTTTGTGAGTTCATAGACAAAGGTTTAGAAAGTGGTTGCTGGTTAACCCCTTCTATTTTGTGCATGGACAAGGCCTTAGTCAGTGGATGCTGGTTGTCTCTCTTACATTGTGAGTATATGTGTGGGTGCAGTGTGTTTACACATGTGTAGATCAAACTGGCTTCTGAAATTGTTGTAAGTCTTGAGAAGAAGTAAGTTTCTATATTTATATCTGTAAAGGGATTCAAAATCTGATTTCATATCGAGGTATGAACTTTTTCAATAAAAGGTTTTTTCTGGTTAGAAAATAATTTCACAAAAAATCTCTTCTTGAATTTGTGGGAGTTGTGAAAAGAGTTATTATTGTTATTTTCTAAATGGTCCAAAAATAACATGTAGGAGGTTTACAACTATGTCCACCAATTATTTTGGCAGTATTTGCCCTAGTAAGGATTGTTTGTCCAACAAACCTTCTGATGAGATTTTATTGGTTGAAAAATATATATAGGATTTAATTCCTACAAACTGAATGGACAAAGAACACCCATTAGGGTTATCAGCACCAGAATAAGCTAAGCTAAATTTGGTAAGATGTAACTGTAAATGCTTTGCTAACATTTTTTTTCTCACACTTCTCACCCGAGGAATTCTCTTCCAGCTTGTTTTTTCCCAGCTCACTCAAAAGTTTAAATGTGATGTCAATCTTCATCTACCATCTTTTTGATTACACTTCTTTTATTGTTCTCGCTCCATAATAATGTTTCTCTTTTTTTTTATTCTTTCACACTCACTAACCCCCTGGGTATTAGGGGTTTTATTACCTTGCTTTGGGATGAAATGATTAAATGAAATCTATACAAGATATTCAGGTTGCTGAGTGCAAGGTAATGGTTAACAAGCTAATCTGACTGTGGGGTGAGTTTGATTCTCACAAGTGTTTCTGCTATGGTGGCCATGTGTCAAACTATGCATTATAAATACTGATACAGAATGTATATATATATATACTTATGTGCACACCTTTTACCGATTAGCCATTATCAATGTCATTAAAGCTGCAATTTCCACTTTTCAGTGCATATTCTTACTGCTTAAATAAAAAAACTATAATTCATTTTTAGAATGACATTTTACTGTAGAAAGAAAATGCATTCCATAGTTATGAACATGAAAAATGGAATTTAAAAGTAAGGACAAGATGGTGAAATATGAGGTGGGGAGATTGAAGGATAAAGGGTGTGTGTGGATCAGGAGTGCAAGGAACAAATTCAACATTTTGGAACACAGAACAACAATAAGTATTCAAAAATTTAAACATAAGATAGAGTTTTTATCAACTTGTTATTTTTTATTTGCACTATTTACATTGTTCAGACTATTTTCCTCATCTTTATTGTAATATTCACATTCTGGCCTTCTTCAGGTGATATATGTGGGAATTTCAAATTGAACCCTTTATTTCCTCCACTGAAGTAGATTTTTCTAGTTCCACTTGTCATGCCTTTTCTGGATATCTGTTTCAGTTAATTCCTTTTAGTGACTCAAATCAGCAAGTTTTTTGTTCCCCTCTGCTGTGGCCAGGTATTGAACTCACAACTCTTTGGGTAAAGTCACTGGATTGCTATCACCAATGTTTTTATCCAATTAGTCATGTATATGAATTTTTTGGGACTTAAAAACTTAATGTCTCAGTAAGGGTTCAGTTTGAAATTTCAACATATATCAGCTAAAGAAGGCTGGAGCATACAATGGCTGAAACTTTGTAAATATGACAATAAAGATGAGGACAATAGCTTAAACAGTGTAAATACCTTGTGATTATGTAACAAAAGTTATATATAACAAAAGTTATAAAAAGTTACATATATAACAAAAGTTATATATAACAAAAGTTATATATAACAAAAGTTATATATAACAAAAGTTATATATAATAAAAGTTATATATAACAAAAAAGTTATATATAAGTTATAAAAAGTTATATATATAACAAAAGTTATATATAAGTTATAAAAAGTTATATATATATAATAAAAGTTATATATAACAAAAGTTATATATAACAATAACAAAAAATTATTTTCTGGGATCGACAGAAATTTCTCATTCTAGTGACAAGCAGCTGTTTGTAAGAAAAAATTTTCAAAAAGTCAAAAGTTAAAGAATCAATCTTTGAATATTTTGAAAAACAATTTTACAACAGGTATTCCACAATTTACTGATATGATAGAGTTTTTGTCTACTCATCTTAAAGAAGCTTCTTTGTTGTCCATCAATATGGCTGATGCTAACCTCCAGCAGAGCAACTCATTGCACCTACTCAGTTTCTGCTGCTATGAAGTGAAATGATTATATTAAATCAATTGTTAGGTCTCTTATTGAGTCAGTTCACTAGACAATTTTCTTGCTAGAATCCATGTTGCATATTTATAAGTCTACTATGTGTCCATACACTGAATGTTGCTACCACAACTAGTTTAGTGTTTTTGCTTTATATCTAGAGATTCTTGACTAAATCTAAAGAAGAATTTATTATTTTATCAGTCCTGACCTGGCATCTCAGCTTTAGTCACTTTCCATAATGTATCTTCCCTGTGCTGTTTCTATAAATAATATCATGGTAATTATTTTGATGAGCTTTCCTCTTTGGTATGTTGATTTAATAAATTTAAACTAGATTGGCAGATAGGTCTCACAAATTCACTGTTGAATCTACTAGATGTAACCATAAGTTCTATGCTAATAGTTTCTTTTCTTTCACTTCTTCATTATAGAATGCTTTCTTTTTTTGTCAACTAAGATCTTCAGTAATTAAAATGCAAAATGTCAATTATCATCTTGTCTCCTTGAATCCTGTTATTTTATTGTCTTTCCTGTTTTTTCACACTTAGTAACCCCTGATGTATTTTTGGTTTTTATATCATGCTTGTTTTTTTGTTTTGTTTTTTGTTTGTTTCAAAGCCAGTTTTGTGGGTGATAACTGAAGATATTAGTCATTTCAAGCCAAAAGTCTATACAACAATAGATAAAAATGTTCTGGGATCCACAGCTGTTTGTTAAAA